TGGTATACTTCGTTCAGTTACGTATTGCTGTACTCAAGACCTTAATATTGTTTTCAATGCATATACAATTATTATTGGCATGTGTGAGCGCCAGTAGTGAATAGTGGTAATTTATTATAATAGTAAAATAAAACACAATAATATAAAATAATAATAATATTAATAATCAATTTAGTTTTACCGGTCACAATGACACGGCAGACGCAATTATAACAAAAATACTGGCACAATAGTAAACAATTATAGATTAAGCTTATGTCGCCGCATTGGCAACAAGGAACAAACAAAAAAAAGAAATGCTGCACAATTGCTTCAATAGCAATAAAAAAATTATGACCATAAAATGATTGAATATACGTATAACATTTTTTAGAAAAAAAAAACAAAAACAAACGAAACAAAACTTCGTACGAGCAATAATAAAGAAAGATAATAAAAGGGCGTTGGCCGCTAAATCACAACAAATCTACAAAGATAAAATACACAAAATGATAGCACAATACAGTGAGGCATAAGGCCGAATAATAATTACTTATACAAAACATTAAATAGGAAAAAAAACAATACAGACACATAATTACGGTATAATAATTGATTATGGACTAAGAGGTGGATGGAGGGAACGGGAAAGATAACATTGGTTGTCGTCGCGCGAAGTCCCGTGCCACCACACATGGCGCGCTTTGGCGCGAACATCACCGCCCACTTTGAAGGAATCCCTTCAAGAGAGTGGAAGTGGGCAAAGCTTGACAGCTGGGCGTTTTAACTGTCCAGAAGTTGTGTCGACAGTGGCCACTCTGGAGATTCCATCTAAACCAGGATGAAGATCACGAATTCTTCCAGTTCGCCAACTAAGAGGATGTGTTGCTTCTTTGATGAGAACAAGTTCACCAACCCGAAGATCTTGATTTGGTGCAAACCATTTTTTCCGGACTTGAAGACTGCTAAGGTACTCGTTCTTCCATCGGGACCAAAAATGTCGGTGTAAATCGGTAATTAATCGCCATCGTTGATACTTTGACATCTTGATTGCGGTTAGAGTTGGATCTGGTAAAGACGTTGAAGGTTCTAACGTCAAAAAATGACTAGGTGTCAAAGCCTCAAAGTCATTTGGGTCATTGCTGAGTGCACATAATGGGCGAGAGTTTAAGGTGGCTTCAACTTGAGTGAGCAATGTCAGAAACTCCTCACTGGTTAGTTTGTGTGTACCGATTGATCGAAGAATTAGTGCTTTCGTGGATTTAACTCCAGCCTCCCACAGACCACCAAAATGTGGAGATGCTGGAGGATTGAAGTGCCACGTTATATGATGTTTGGCAAGGTGACGATGGACACTATCTTGAAATGTTTGTGAATATGTTAGGTCATGAAGAGGGTCCATCAAACGGGACGCACCAATAAAATTGGTCCCACAGTCGCTGTGCATTTCCTTAATAGGCCCACGTCTTGCCGAAAAACGAGTAAACGCCATTAAAAAACATTCTGTAGACAAGTCAGAGCTTAGTTCTAAATGGATTGCTTTGGTCGTAGTGCATACGAACAAACAGATGTACGCTAGACGTGGTACTGAGTTGCGATTACGAGGTTCCTTCAGCGAAACAGGACCCGCATAATCCACACCCGTGATGGAGAACGGTTTGACTTGTTGAACACGATAGCTTGGAAGACTGGCCATTTTCGGCTGAACGGAACGCGGTCTGATACGGAAACATGCGATGCAGAGTCGTATGCGAGATCGAATAAGTTTCCGAGCAGACGGTATCCAGAACTCGCGCTGTAGATGAGCTTGGAGTGCTATGGATCCTGGGTGTTTCAGTCTATGGTGATGATGATCAATAAGTAACACAGTTAAGCGATGATGACACGGCAACAGAAGTGGATGTTTGTGAGCATATGGCAAGTCAGCGTTCGTGAGACGTCCGCCCACTCGTAGAAGTCCTTGATCATCAACGAAAGGGTCCAATCTTCTAATGGCGGGAGAACAACGTAATCCTTTTTTTATATTTGAAATTTCATGGGAGTATGACGTTTGTTGAACATAAAACACTAAAGCTGCTAAAGCATGGGTTCGTTCATTCGCATCAATCAAGTGTGTGAATGGTGCTGACGGACGTGACTTAGATAGGCGAAGACAGTACGCTACGATATGTAGAACCTTATTTAAGGACGAGAACCGATATAGAAGGTCAGTAATTGCGCAATTGGTCGTGGTTAGAAGGACAGTACATTTTCGTGCTTCAATAGATGTATGATTATCTGTTGTAACTGAACTTGATACCGCAGAAGGCCAAGTATTAGACGACTCTAATAGATAAGCGGGTCCCGTCCACCATAGCGGATGAGCAGCAAGCTCGGATGGGAAAAGTCCGCGTGATGCACAATCAACCGGGTTTTGATGTGTAGGGACATGGTTCCAAATATCGGGTGACGTGAGCTCGTGAATTTGGCTAGTTCGATTTGCAACAAAAGTGGCCCAACGATGAGGAGACGACTGGATCCAAGCCAACGCGGTAGTTGAATCTGTCCAGGCATGGAGTGAATCAATAGTGATACGATTTGAGTAGGCATCGACGACGAACCGTAGGAGTTTGGCAGCTAGAACAGCTCCACATAGCTCAAGTCGTGGAATAGTGGACCTTTTAAGAGGTGCTACTTTCGATTTTCCTGTGACAAGGTGACAATAGACTGAGGTAGAAGTTTGCGTTCGGAGGTAGACGGCCGCTGCGTATCCTTTCTCCGAACTATCCGAAAAAGCGTGAAGTTGGATTGATGTGGCGTTTTCAAATGTGATTCGACGAGGTATCGAGACGTTTTCAATTGACATTAGCTCTGATTGATAGCGTGTCCACATTACAGCAATATCCTTTGGTACTTGATCATCCCATTTGATTCCAGCAATCCAAAGTTGCTGCATGACGTGTTTTGTCCAGAAGGTGAGTGGGGACAGCAAGCCTAACGGATCGAAGATCTTAGCAATTTCTGACAGGACTGTGCGTTTGGTAGGAATGGCGGTCGAAACAATCGCTTTGAACGAAAAATGATCAGCTAAAGGGTCCCACTTCAAACCTAGTACCTTTAAGTCTGAATGTTCACTACTGTCGAACAGAACAGATGGGGCTATGGCACGAGCGTCTTCTGGTACAGCTTGCAGAAGTTGACTATTATTACTGGCCCACTTTCGCAATTGAAATTGCGCCAGGCCACACAAATTTATTAGCTGAGTCTGGCATTCAAGAGCAGCTGCTGTTGAATTGGCTCCGGTTAGTATGTCATCAACAAAGGTGTCATTCAACAACACAGAGGCAGCTATCGGCCAGCTGGCACCATCTACCGTCGCTAGTTCGCGAACAGTGCGAAGTGCTTGGAACGGTGCAGCAGAGGTACCGTAAGTCACAGTACATAACCGATATTCCTCAAGTGGAGACGTGGATGAGAATCTCCACAGAATTCTCAAATAATCTCTGTCAGCAGGTCCGATGAGAATTTGGCGATACATCTGTTTGATATCAGCCATAAACAAGTATTTCCAAAGTCGAGCACGAAGGAGAACAATTTTTATATCAGGTTGCAGTTTAGGACCGGTGTACATACTGTCATTTAATGATATACCAGTTGACGTTTTTGCAGATGCATTGAACACAACCCTAAGCTTTGTAGTAAGGCTATCGGGTTTAAGTACACAGTGGTGAGGAATATAATAATGATATGGATTGCTTTGTTCAGACAAGGGAATCAATTCCATATGACCAGCTGTCAGGTAATCACGCATGAACTCAGCATACTGATCACGAAGGTCTTTGTTGCGGTTAAGTCGGCACTCGAGAGCCTTAAATCGTTGAATAGCTAACGTTTTGGAGTCACCAAGCAGTGGTCGTGGTCTCAAAAACGGAATAGTGACGACAAATCGGCCAGAACTAAGTCGAGTCGTGGTTGATTTATATATATCCTCAGCAGCAACGTCAGCAGGACTTAAGTGGTGAACGGTGGTTATCTCTTCAAGTTCCCAAAATTTTTTAATTGCCGAGTCAAGAGGTTCAGATACATTCATACACAGGGTGGTGATGGAAGAGCGATCATATACGTCTGTTGGACCCATGAGAACCCATCCGAACACAGTGTTCATTGCAAAGGGTTCTCCAATTTGACCCGTCCGCGTGCCATCAAGGAGAACTACCGGTAACAGGTCAGCTCCTAGTAACAAATCTATGGGACCGGGTGTATTATACGATGGGTCGGCCAATGACAAGCTGTTAATATGTTCCCAATGCCCAGACGTGACCGGAGTTTGAGGAGTTGGGCCAGTTATTCGAGGAACTATTGATACGTCAAGACAAAACGAAGGTGATTGTTGACCGGACGGAACCATCTTAATAGTACATTTACCCCGAACAACTGTAGAATCGGAATTAGCAAATGTAGTAACGCTGACAGAGGATTGAACTCTGCGAAGCATAAGAGCACAAACAGCTCTTTCCGTGATAAAGCTAGCTTGTGAACCAGAGTCTAACAACGCTCTTAACGCATGTCGCCGTCCATCAGCAGCATAGACTTCAACAACAGCTGTTGATAGTAGAACGATTTGCTGCGGTTGTCCACGAATAAGACATGATGTAGTAGCTACATGTGACCCAGCCACAGGCAAGGGCTCTGACGTTTTAATGGATAAAGTCGTTGATGATACTGGGGCTACCGAAATGGATGGACTAGCCGTAGAGTGAAAATGCAATAAAGAGTGATGACTTTTCTTACATGATTGGCATATATGTTTAGATGTGCATGACATTGCAGAATGCCCTGAACCAAGACAATTTATACATAATCGATGTGTCTTAGCGATGAGAAAACGTTCATTTGGAGCCTTTTCGATAAATAATTTACATTGTCGAATTGAGTGGAGCGCGTTACATAATTGACAGCTCTTTACAGGTGAAGTGTTGGTTGTTGTAGACAGAACTGCAGAAGATCCTAATACACGAGGTTTAGACGTTGGATTTTTATAGAACCGTTGAGGTTTTGCCACATTGTCGAGTTTGTCACACGAGGGAGAACCCGAGTAAATTTCAGCAGATCGCAAGTGGCTACGTAAAAAATCAACAATGTCAGTGAGTTGAGGAAAATAATTATCACCAACGACTAATTCCCACCGAGCACGCAGATCATAATTTAGATGTTTCTCGACTATATGTACAAGCAACGGGCTCCACTGTCGGGTCACATAGCCAAGGTTGTCTAAAGCAGCTGTGTGTTCCAGAAGTGTATTTATTTGAAATTTAATGGACGCAGCTTCGTTGGATTTGACACTTTGGCTAGCTAACAGAGCGTCAAGGTGGATGCGAGCTAAGTCCCGTTTGTTGCCGTATCGATCACTTAGGATTTTCCAAGCACTATTATAATTTGTTGACGTAAGAGGAAGATGCGAAATAAGTGATAACGGTTCTCCTGACAAGGATGTCTTTAAATACTCAAACCGTTCGACATCTGGCAAGTCTGGAGCATGAGACAAAATTGATTTAAAAAGATCCTCAAACCCTTGCCATTCAGTCAACACGCCAGAAAACACTGGGAATTTTCGTTTTGGTAGTTGAAAGGCCGACATGTTATTTATGTGATGTTGATTTGAAAATGAATTTGATGACACATCCAGTGGGGGTGATAATGAGAATTTATGTATATCCGCGAATGCAACCAGTTCATAATAATAATGGTCGAAAGACTCGATAAGTTTTTGACTCTCCGTATGATCGGTTACCTCAACAGGAGCTGTCGCAGAATTAAAAGCAGATTCCATACGTTCGATATCGTCTTCGACGGTATTTCGGAGGTTAGTCAGTTCAATCAACATTTTACCAATTTTAGCTCGCTTAGCCGCGTTGGTACGATCATTAGCAAAATCTACGGAAGCCTGAAGAAATGATTTTAATTTAATAACACAACGTACCACTCGCGATTTTGCATCAGCATAAGCAGTATTCGCCATGTTGTCTTATATTAACTGGTTCGATGTTATAATTAAATATAAACGTAGTAAATAGCAACTGTGTGAAGGAAACACTCGATGTCGTACGATAATTATAAAGATGTAGGTACTATATTTTTAATTACGACAATTGATTACTAACTTTGATTTAAGTGGAAAATATTTCAATTCACGGTTTTTACTAATAAATCCGCGTTCGAAGGACCAAAAAATGTGTGAGCGCCAGTAGTGAATAGTGGTAATTTATTATAATAGTAAAATAAAAACACAATAATATAAAATAATAATAATATTAATAATCAATTTAGTTTACCGGTCACAATGACGCGTGAACCGCAATTATAACAAAATACCTTTAATAGTAAACAATTGCCAGATTAAACATGTGCCGCGTGGCAACAAGGAACAAACAAAAAGAAATGCTGCTGGTGCTTCAATAACAATAAAAATTATGACCATAAGATGATTGAATAACCATTTATAACATTTTAGAAGAAAAAGCAAAAACAAACAGAAACAAACCGTACGAGCAATAATAGAAGATAATAAAGGGCGTTGGCCGCTAAATCACAACAAATCTACAAGATAAATACACCAAATGATAGCACAATACGGTGAGGCATAGGCCGAGATAATAGTGCCATACAAACATTAAATAGGAAAAACAATACAGACCACGCGATTACGGTATAGCGGTGTTATGGACTAAATTGGATGGAGGAACGGGAAGACAACATTGGTTGTCATCGGCGCGAGATCCCGTGCCACCACACATAGCGCGCTTTAGCGCGAACAGTAGTAATATATTATTATTATATATTAAATCGATTCTTGCCTAAATTTGGGCGCCCGCATACTATTTCTATAATAATATAAAAGAGAAATATATATATATATATATATTTATACCGCAGGTGTTTGACACTGGATTTGTTATTATTGATACTTTGTACACTTTGCTTGGGTAACCCTACTTTCTTCCGTTCAACCAAAAACGCGAATTCGTTGCCGCTAACCGCGAGTACTAAGTAGGAGCGGAACGGCGAACAATGTATGTTATAATTATAAAAAAATTATGTATAATAATTCAAAATAAAAATCTTACTACTCGAGAATTTTTGGGTACATCAGTAAAAGTTTAATTTTATAATATCGCATATATATATATATTATAAAGGAATCAAACATAAATCACAGTATAATTAATAGGTGAAAACTTAAAAATTAAAGAGATTAGATGTTTTTATGCTGTATGTTAGGGCCGATTATTTTACAGACAGTGGTGGAATTGGGTCCCAGTCCGCCCTAGCGGTAACCAACCTTCGCGGATCTCCATTAAATTGCCGGGTATCATGGATACAGATGACCACCACCAGGACCGCTACCGAAACCAACGTTTAATGCGGATCCGCATGCACCCATTGCCTATCCCACCAGCCGCAAACGGAACAGTATAGCTGAAACCGCGCACCGCGCGGTGCGTGCAAGCATTGTGGGGCCGCACTGGAACGGTATTGCCCAACCATCGGTTCGGAAAACCAAGTAGTCGGCAGTTAGTTGTCCCGCACTGCCATCACCACACTAATGCCAATCACCGCAATTATCAGCAGCCCACCGACGGCGATATAACCATCAAACGCGCGTCAACATGCCAGCGTCTTCGG